CTTCAACTTGGGCAAATCATGCAGTGATGGTAGCTCTAGACAGGATATCCAACAACCTGTTCAGATGCCTTCTACATCTACGGATGTCTCCGGAAAGGAGATGATGAGTGTCCCACGTGATGAGTATGAGCGGTTTATCCAGGCCACCTCTCAACAGAATACATCTACTCTCGCACATTCAGGTATGGCTTGTCTGGCATCCAAACCCACCTCATGGATTATCAACTCTAGAGCTTCCGATCATTATGACTGGGACTCGAGGTATGTTTTCCTCCCTTTGACAGTGTTCCACATCACATTTTGTTACCCTTGCTAATGGTTCCGCATCCTCCATTTGTGGTGTTGGTAATGTTGGCATAAACCCTTTATCCCTGTCCTCAGTTTTGTATGTTCCCAAATTCTCTTTTAATCTTATGTCCGTTAGTAAGCTAACCAAGTCTCTTAATTGCTCTATCACCTTTTACCCCTCTTCTTGTGTTTTTCAGGATCTCAAGACAGTGATGAAGATTGGTGGAGGGCGTGAAGCTGGTGGACTGTATTATCTTGATGGTGGTGTTGGTTCGTCAATAGCTCTTCAGACATCTCTTTCTCCTCTTTAGTGGCACTGTAGACTTGGTCATCCATCGCTTAAAGCACTGAAGTCACTTATTCCGTTGTTGAATCGTCTTTCTGTTTTGGATTGCGAGTCCTGTCAATTGGGGAAACATCACCCATGTTCCCTTTAGTCCTAGGGTTGATAATCGTATGTCGAGTCCTTTTTCTTTAGCTCATTCAAATATTTGGGGTCCAAATAAAATAGTGTCATACAATGGTTACAAATACTTTGTTATTTTTGTTAATGATTATTCAAGGATGACATGGATTTACCTAATGAAAGAAATGAGTGAATTGTTTCCATTTTCCAAAAACTTTATGCTGAAATGCGCAACCAATTTGGTATACACATTAAGATTCTTCGTTCTAATAATGGTCACAAATACTTTTATGCACCGTTTCAAAAGTATTTGGAACAACATGGCATTATCCATCAAACTTCATGTGCCTATACACCTTAGCAAAATGGGGTGGCTGAGAGAAAAAACTACCATCTTTTGGAAACTGCGTGGTCCCTTTTGCATCATATGAATGTACTCAAACATTTTTGGAGTGGTATTGTGCTTAAATCTTCTTTCCTCATTAACCAGATGCCCACGCCCATCCTTGAAGGTCATTCTCCTTTCACCACTTTGTTTTCTACCTTGTCTCCTTTTCCCCTTACTCCTAGGGTTTTTGGGTGTGTATGTTTTGTTCATAATCTTGAACCTGGAGTGGACAAATTAGATGCACAATCCACCAAGTGTACCTTCCTTGGCTATTTCCAAACCTAGAAAGGGTATAAGTGTTATAACCCCAGTTCTCAACATTCCTTTGTGTGCCTTGATGTTACTTTCTTTGAATTTATTCTGTTTTTTCTAGGTCCGGTGATGTCTCTTCTTCTACCTCACCTCCTCCTCTTCCAGTTCCTGTTGAGGACCCCATCCCACTTGTTCTGGTTGTGACTAAGTCTTCGCCTCCAGTGCAACTTCCTGTTGAACGACCACCCATCCGCCAAGTGTACGCATCAACGACATGTACCAGCTCCTCCAGCTTCTTCACCATCGACAGATCCGTTAGTTGTCCCCCCACCAGCTCCACCTCTTGTTTCTAACCTTGATCTTCTTATTGCCTTGCGGAAAGGTAAACGCAGTTGTACACTTCATCATTTCCAATTATGTTTTTGTATCTCACCTTTTTGCTTCCCAACAGTGTTTTAAAAGCGCAAGGCGAGGCGCACGCCTTTTTGAGGCAAGGCACACAATTTAAAAAAAAAGCTAAAAATTCAAAAAATTATAAAACATAGTATTAATAAAAATATTAACTTAAGTTTTAAAAAACCTATTATCTAAAATTAAAACACATAAATATAATATGTAAAGCATATTCAAATGAGAATTTAAAAATGAAATCAAACATATAAAAAATTTTCAAGCATATAAAACCCACAATCTCTTTTTTTTCTCAATTGCATCAAGTAGCTAATGTGACATATTACATTCCTAATTCTACGAGCCGCCTTTGTGCCATGCCCCTTGAGGCAAGCCCAAACAAGTCCATGTTAGGGTCTTAAATTCTTAGATTTCACACAAAAAATAATAATTTTATAGTTTTAATTGCTTTTAAGAAGATATTTTATTAAGATGAATGAATGGACAACATTACCAAATTTCGAGAATGAATCCCCTATTTGGTAATGTTGTCCATTCATTCATCTTGATAAAATATCTTCTTAAAAGCAATTAAAACCATAAAATTATTATTTTTTGTGTGAAATCTAAGAATTTAAGACCCTAACATGGACTTATTTGGGCTGGCCTCAGGGGTCCGGGGGTGGAGCCCTTGGCCCAACGGCTAGACTCAAAAAAAAAAGGAAAAAGCAGCAAATTTTCAAAAGGCGCATGCCTAGGCGCACCAGGCATGCACCTTTTGAATGGGCTGCGCCTAGGACCTAGGCGAGGCGCCTACCCTAAAATACGCTTCGCCTGAGCGCCTATTTGCGCCTTTTAAGTCACTGCTTCCCATCGTCAGTTTGTTCCTCTGTTGTCTTTTATTTCGGTTCCTACGGATGTCCAGGAAGCCCTTGCCTCTCCAAGGTGGCGCCATGCAATGGAAGAAGAACTCTCAGCTTTGGCTCATAATCACACGTGGTATCTCAGCATGTTGTGGGTTATAAGTGGGTATACATTGTTAAGTATTTACCTAATGGTAATGTAGAGAGATTGAAAGCTCGACTGGTTGCCAAAGGCTATTCCCAAACATATGGTATTGACTATACGGAGACCTCTCCTATTGCTAAAATTGGTTTCGTTTGTGCTTTAATATCTCTAGTTGCTATGTATGATTGGCCTCTGTTTCAACTTGACATCAAAAATGCCTTTTTACATGGTGATCTCCTTGAGGAGGTCTATATGGAGCAACCACTGGGGTTTGTTGCTCAGGGGGTAAGGTGTGCAGACTAAAGAAGGTCATTTATGGACTTAAACAGTCCCCTCGTGTGTGGTTTGGTAGACTCAATGAAGTGATAAAGAAGTTTGGTATGAAACAGTGTCAGGTTGATCACTCAGTATTTAGCCATGATTCGCATGTTAGGGAGATCTTACTGGTGGTATATGTGGATGATGTTGTCATTACCGGCAGTGATAGATTGGGGATTGATAGGCTAAAGACCTTTCTGCAATAGCGCTTTCAAACAAAAGACCTTGGTAAATTAAAATATTTCATGGGAATATAAGTAGCAAGGTCTAAGCATGGTATTAATTTGTGCCGGAGGAAGTATGTTCTTGATTTGTTGGAGACAGGATTGTTAGGTGCCAAACCAGTTGAAAACACCTATGGAACCAAATACCAAGTTGAGCAATGATATGGGTGAGGAGTTTGAAGATCCTAGAAGGTATAGGCGGTTGGTGAGTAAGCTAAACTACCTAACCATTACTCGGCCATATATTTCATTTGCAATTAGTGTGGTGAGTCAATTTATGCAGAAACCTCAGGTTCCACATTGGGATGTAGTTCTAAGGATTGTAAGGTATTTGAAGGGATCTCCTAGTCGTGGCTTGATATACAAGAGTTGAGGAAATCTTGAAATAGAGGGATACGCTGATGTTGATTGGGATGGTTCTATATTTGACAGAAGGTCCACTACATGTTATTGTACTTTTCTTAGGGGTAATTTTGTGACATGGAAAAGTAAGAAACAAACAATTGTGGCAAGAAGCAGTGTAGAAGCTGAATACAGAGCCATGGCACATAAAACTTGTAAACTAGTGTGATTGAAAAATCTTCTACAGGAGATGGGATATTCAATTAACACTCCAATGAAGCTTTATTGTGACAACCAAGCTACAGTCCACATCTCTTCTAATCCAATGTTTCATGAGAGAACAAAGCATATAGAAGTTGACTGTCACTTTGTGAGAGAGAAGGTGCTTAGTGGAGTGATAGATACTGCATATGTTAACACAGGAAGTCAATGGGCAGACTTGTTCACCAAAGGGTTGAGTCGGGGAAGAGTGGACTACATATGTAACAAGTTGGGACTATATGATATATACTCACCAGCTTGAGGGGGAGTGTTAGTGTCGATTGTATAGGGGTAGTTTAGTCTTTCTATTTATGTTTAAGCTGATGTTTAATGTTTATGTTAAGTGATGTGTCCCACACTTAAGTAGGGACATAATAGTCTTTTGTTGTATTTAATAGAAACATATAAATATAACCTGGCCGACTAGAGAGAGTGACTTTTCTCTCTTGTTCGAACCAGTTTTCTCCTTCCCCTTCTCTTCTCTTCTTCTCTCTTCTATCTCCTCTAATCTTCCTCTAATACTATTTCTAGCAGAATTCTAGTGCAGGTCTGAACTTTATCAACCATCATCCCCTCCAAACATAACACAAAACGAAACATGGAGTCCCCAAACAGATCAACCAAAAACAAGAACCCTTCCACACTCTTATCTCATCCTGCCATTCTTATCAAACATTTTCTCACCACCCCTTAAACATTTTACCCCCCCCCAAAAAAAAAAGAAAAAAAATAAGAACTCTCTCACCAACCTGTTTGTTGAATTATTTGATAGATTTTGAATAAGCATTATTAAACCTGTTCTCTCTCCTATATCAACTTTTTTTTATCAATAACAACACAATTTTATCAACGAACATTAAAAGGATACAAGATGGTATAAGAAGCAAGGGGAGAGGTAAACTCTCTTAACCCTTCCCCAAAGAAACTATTCAGAATTACACCAGTGCCCAAAACATTCCATCTCTTCCCACCCCTTGCTTAGCAAGTGTATCAGCAAAAGAATTAGCACTTCTCTTCACCAACTACAATTTTATTTCCATACCCTGGGTCAGCCATTTAAACTTCCTTCTTTCATTAGCATAGTACCAAAACTCGCTTTCCTCCTTTTGCAGCCAGATTATCATCAATTTTGAATCGCACTCAATAACCAGCTTTCTAATGTTAAGCTCATTTGCCCTCTATATGCCTTCCTATATCAACTTCAATATGTTCTTAATAAATAAGACCACTCTCTAGAGAATGCATTAACTCTTAAATGCATAAATGAAAATGCAAGATAATATGATCTCCACTTGTAAATAATGGGTTATCAGCAAAATCACATTGTAATTAGAGTCACCAAAGCTACTGAAAATGATTTAACTTTTTGTGGTAAAAAACAGAAAAATAAGAAGAGAAGTTCACCCATTCCAAAAAAAGGGGGAAACAAGAGCATACTAATCATTTTGGGAAACAATCATTTGAATGACTTTGTAATAGTATGAAAAAGGTTAGGTGGTAGGTGGTAGATGCCAGCATAACACATGGTATGAATGTTTTGTACATATCATTCTTTAATTCTTTAACGATACAGGTTACAAGTTACCTATCAGAAAAAAAAAAAGAACATACTTATCACAGAGCTGAAAATTTTTGCACAGGTTGCATATCCATTGCCTTCCAGATATTATCATATCACTGCAGTGTGTGCAAGCTAACTGCAGTTGGACCACAATAAAGTCTTCTCTAATTGGGAAGATGGTTTCACCAAGCTATAGCATCATAAGATGGGAAAAGAATTAGTTGATTACATTTCCAAGAAAAAGGTAAAAGAAAGGACTAAATAATTGAAAACTAAAGTAGCTGCAATGAGACAGCATGCAATCCTACTAGAAAACAAAAAAGATAAGATGGGAGACCACCAATTAATGGCAACCCATAGAGAGAAGAATCACAAAAAGATGCTTTCATTACTAAAAGGCACATTATTGTTACCAGAATTTAAGTGTTAAAATTAGTCAGATTTACAAAGTTGTCATGAATGAAAGTGTTTTATTTGTATAAATGTTACTATTTTGTACTTCATTCGTAATTGCACCATGCAAAACGAGTTTCTTTGCATGCTCATATCCTGACAAAGTTTGGATGGTCAAATCAACAAGCTTCTTTGCATGCATGTTGTAGGACATAAAGTCAATGGTATTGGTACCAATAAAAAAAAGGGCAATGGTATTTATATTGAATATCTTTAGTTAAAGAAACACAAAGAATGGAAAAGAAAATGCTTGATGTATTTACTTTTTTCATTAGCAGAATATCCTTGGCAGCACTTCCAGAAACATCAGTCTGGCGCATAGCTTTTAGAACCCTTCTGGATACAAACTTCTTTCCCTTTCTCTGTAGGTGCCCTATACCTTTTTCTAGATCTAGATTTCTTAAAATATCCTCAGCTGCACCTGGCCAAAAGTCACCATCAAAATATGGCAAACGAGTAGCTGTTACCTTGGCCTTACATTCACCAGGTGGCACAAAGAAATGGTTATATAAATTAGTGATGCTAACAACAATGTTTTCTTCAGCTGCTTTTCTTAGCATCATTAAATACCTGCACATTTTCAGAGAGTTACAGTTAAGCACATATGTACACACATTCAGATACATAGTTTTTTTCTGAGGGGGAACGGGGAAGAGAGAGACCATTCCCGCAGCTTGTCAGTCTTTGGCACCTTCTGTATCTCTGGATGGAAGTATAGAATAAAATCTTCTCCTTTCAAAGGCGGGCAAGCCCATATATAGCAGCTAGTGAAACCCCGTTTCTTGCAATAATCCAGATATCCTATCTGATAAAGAGAACACAGTTAAAAAGAGGCCATGTGTATGGTGTAAAAAGGAAGCTAAAAAAGGTGCAGTTCATAGAGGATTCATCAGGTAAAGGGAAGAAGTTTTTACCAATATCTCATGGTAAACAAAGGTACGAAGAGCTTCTCCAGTCACAGTTTTTGTCTCGGGCCTGAAGTACTTAACAGAATCAAGATATGCAAGATAGACACAACGTTGATTGGGGTAATAGCATTCTGAACTGAACTCCTGGACACACATCCCAAACAGGCATATGTCTACTCCTTCAATCTTCTGAAATAAGAGAATAACCTACAATGGAGAAATATAATATTGTCTTTATCAGAATCCCTTCCTCGGGTACCTACGCAACAGGGAAGTAGACAACAGACTCAAATAAATATATATACATACATATATATATATATATATATATATTGGCAAGATAGAGCTTTGTATGATTCAATGGGCTAACACTCTGAAGGAGTTTTCAGCCGTATCAAAGGAGCAGATCACAGATCAATGGGAAGAATTCTTTTTGTTTGATTTTGTAAATGAATAAATAGTAGATTCATATTATACAGGCAATACTATTTGTATAGCTTTTCTGGACTGTTTCTGTCCAAAGGCAATCCTTTGTAATTACCTTTTGGGAGAAGCTCTCCCTCCTTTTGAGTAGTACACTATACTTCACTCATAAAAAAGAAGTCTACAATTGCAAGATTAATATCTCAAAGAATACAAATGTAATTTTTTTCTGGAAATAATAAAAGAAACATTAACAGAAAATCAACATTCTCCTTTCTTCCCCATTTCTATATGGCGGCCTGATTCTTGCAGGGGTGAAGACAGTAGTCCTCTTGCCAAAGATGAAAAGATGACAGGATGTTCATGAAGAAGCCTCTGTTTGTTATTCTTCAATCCAGAGAATAAATTCTCTCTAATTCTTTCCCATTTGTTCATCCACAATCCTGACATAGAGTTTTTCTATCTCCTTTTTCACTTCTTCCCCCACAACCATAGTTTTTCTATGTTATGGTTCTAAAGAAACATGAAAGATAAAATGGAAGGGTATGCACTGCATGCTAATTTTTAGATTTACAAATATCTATTGTTTGGCAAGGCAAGAAAACACCTAAATTGGGCCAAAATGAATGCTGACTGGAAGAGATTGGTTCTCAAATCCAAGGAAGAAGGTGGAAATGCAATGATACCCAGATAGAAATTTCTTTTTCCAATTTTCCTTAGACTTCCTTGCCTTTTTTAGTGGAAAAAAAAGTTGGGATTAGTAAGTAAACATGGGTTTCCTCCTGCCACATGGCATCATTATATTGGGTTAACTAAGAGACCAAAACCCTATTAATACTCTAAAAAGGATGGGAAAGGAATTTGATTACATGGTATTCGCATTTAAAGTATAATTTCAGTTCTCACCTTTGACCTATACGGGAATTCCACTGGATAGTTTTCTTCATGAAAGAAATCTAGAAAACACTGCTTCACTGCCAATATCTTCTCAATAGATGAAACCACTCTGACAATGAGATTTTCTGCTCCAGGTACCTGGTAAGTGGGCAACAAACAACAATATAAATAGACACTGCTTCATTAGTTGCCTATGAAGCATGCTAGCATTTTCACATCAAGAATCTTGTGCAAATGATAAAGAGGAAAAAAAATCAACTACCATAACTATGGACTAACTCAAAACATAGACATGCTAGGTTGACCAGATATTGATACTGGTACAAATGCTTATATGAGAGGCACCAATATGACCGTTCAGTTTCCAAAATCCAGAAAGCATATATTACAAGTATCTCTTCCCATATCCAAACACTATGCTTTTACGGTAAACTATTAGGGAGTAAGATAAAAAGTCATGAAAATACTTGCAATATCTAGGGTGTTGTTGAGAAAGAAAACAAGAAATGGAGGAGAGAGGAAAAAAGGGCAACAAATGGAGGAGAGAGTGTTACTGTTCACTCTCTCAAACATGAGATTTATACTATGAGAGAAAGATTACAAGAAACCTCATATGGGCGCCCAAATACAAAAGAACATGAAAAGACAAAAGGGCCCTTGCCCCAAACAATCTCAACAAAAATAACAAACATTGATTCTCAAAGAAGGAATGTCAACCAAGGGGTCCTTTCAGAACAATTTCCTCAAGGCTCTCTTGGAACTTGGAAGGATAAGAATACCAGCATGTTTAGACCTATAAAGGGTCCAAAGAATCAGAGGTTGTACATATTACAAAAAATCTTCTCTCTTCTGTTTATGTGGGGCTGGTCCACGTAAGAAACTTAAAGTGGGTATAAGAGGAAGTAATGAAGGATAGTCTTCATTCCGTCAAAGCTGCTGAGTATGTGAGCAATGGTCAGAAGGTATGTCTAAATGAATTTCCTACATAAGGAAGTATTCATAGAGATAATATGGATGTGGAAAACAATAGAAAGAAGTGATATACATTGTGATTCAGAAGATTCCAAGGTTATCTCTCAGGATTTGACAATGGAAAGTGTGTCTTAGAAGGTGAACTATAGAATCTGACCTGCTGATGATATTATGGTTAATTTGTTAACAATGAAGAGAATTTAGGGAAAAAGAGGTGAAGGAAGTGTGGTCGATAAGGATCTTGGAGAAGATAGTGTAGCAATTGACGAAGTGGTTAAGATAGAAAAGCTGGATCTTAATAAGGTGATCAGAAAGATACTGGTGTAACAAGAAATTGGGATTGTTCTGTTGATAAAAAAAGGAAAAAAAAAAGAAATTGGGATTGCAGGACAAGTGATTATGGAATTAGAAGGCAAGAAGCAAATTGAAAATTCTAAAATCCCAACTATAGACTCCAAGAATTAATCACACCCACAAGTGACCTGGAATGATTTTACAGAGGCATTGTGTATTAGATTTGGACCTACAGCTTATGAGGATTATGATGAGGCCCTCTCAAAGCTCAGACAAATCGGATCTGTTCATGAATATCAGATTGAATTTGAGAGATTGGCCACATGAGTCCATGGATGGCCAGAGAGAGCTCTTATGGGGTGTTTCTTGGTGGACTCAGAGGAGATCCACATTAAAGTTAAGGTCCTCCAACCGGCAACTATTCTAGCAGCATTGGGGCTGGCCAAATTGCAAGAAGAAAAGCTGAGTCAATTTGGAAAATAAACCGGCCCACTTAACCAATATTCAGTTAGTTCTGGTCCCTGTTGAATGTTAATTGGTGCTTACCATTTCCAATAAAAAAAAAATGCTAATTGGTGCTTGCCAAGTTTTTGCTTCAGTTGTTTTCTACCTGGAAGTTGGTGGGCTTGAGTAGAAGGGTAGGGTGCTTTAGAGTGCCCTTCCTTATGTTGTGTGTTGGGTTCTGTGGAAAGAAAGGAAGGGGAGAACTTTTGAAGGAAAGCTCACCCCCTTAAATGATGTGGTGGCTAGGGATGTGGCTACTTTGCATTCCTGGTTATCTGACAACTTATTCAAAAACACCCCTTTGAGTAGAAGGGTAGGGTGCTTTGGAGTGCCCTTCCTCATGTTGTGTGTTGGGTTCTGTGGAAAGAAAGGAATGGGAGAACTTTTGAAGGAAAGCTCACCCCCTTAGATGATGTGGTGGCTAGGATGTGGCTACTTTGCACTCTTGGTTATCTGACAACAACTTATTCAAAAACACCCCACATCATCACTTTTTTGAGTATAGAACACTTCTTAATTAATTTTACAGTCATTAATTTTTGTATTTAGTTTGAGAGCCTAGGTTTTTTGGGTGGCTTCTCTGTATAGTTTCTGGCTGTACATGGAGCATACTTGATTATAAAAAGCTAGCCCAGGCTAAGATACAAGCCCCTAGGGAGAAAGGGATGTTCTACAATTGTGACAAGAAATTCAGCCCTGGACACAAATACAAAACTTAGGAAGTGTTCCTCCAGACATAGGCCTAAGAGGCTAATGCTCAAAATTTTCTGCAAACTCTAGTGAAACCTTGAAATGGGCCTATGAGGCTGAAATCCTGAAATAACACTTCAAGCCCTGACCGGTTTAACTTCACCTCAGACTATGAGGGTCGATGGCCAGTTAGCAGGCTGAACTGAAGGGTGTCCATTCTTATAGATAGTGGAATCACCCTCAATTTTGACTTGTATACTAGCTTGGCAATTGAGGCTGATTGTCCAGCAAACCACCCCATTCACAGTTCATGTGGCCAATGGTAACCATTTGAGTTGTCAAACAATCTGTGAGAATTTGGCATTAAAGGTCCAGAATCACTTGTTCTATGTGGGCCTCCACCCACTTGAATTCGGTGGGGCTGATATAATGCTTGGCATTCGGTGGTTAGGGCAACTAGGCCCAGTTATTTGTGATTGGGCCCTTCTCACTATGGACTTTGAACTGGGCAGGAACAAGGTGCATTTGAGTGGGCTTAGGCCCAACTCTACCAAATCAATGGGTCTCAAATCTATTATTAAGTGTAAACCAGTTCTCATGCAAATGGGCCTAAGTCACTCACACCCACTCCTAACATCCGCAGTTGATGCACTCACTCTTTTAGACTATCAGAACATGTTGAAGGTGCTCTTGTTAGAATATCAAGAGGTCTTTCAAGAGCCCATGGGCCTCCCAACTTCACATAGCCACGAACACCGCATTCTAATAACCCTAGGTGCTGCCCCGACCAATGTCCAGCCCTATAAATATCCACAATACCAGAAGGAGGAGATTGAGTGGACTGTTCAAGAACTCCTTGATAAAAAGATGGTTCAGCCCAGCAATAGTCCTTACTCCTCTTCAGTCTTGTTCACCAAGAAGAAGGATGGGTCATGGAGCTTCTGTGTGGACTATAAAACCCTCAATCTCATTACAGTCAAAGAACGCTTCCCTATAGCAATAATTGATGAGCTATTAAACGAGTAAAGAAATGCTACTGTCTTCTTTAAGTTGGACCTCGAGAGTGGGTTAGCATCAGATCAGGTTACACCCTGAAGACGTGCACAAGACTGCTCTCAGGACTCATAATGGTCACTATGAGTTCTTGGTCATGCCATTTGGCTTGACCAATGCACCATCCACATTTTACTCCCTTATGAACGAGATCTTCATGCCCAATTTGCACAAGTACATCCAGTTTTTTTATGACATACTCGTCTAAGGTATAGATTAGGAGCAGCATTTGGTGCACTTCAGGGATATATTGGAAAGGCTCAGGCAACATTAGCTTTTTTCCAAAGAAAGAAAACGCACCTCTAGCCAGGCCCATGTTCACTACTTGGATCAGTATATAGGGCCCACATGCTAACCAATATCTAATTTGGATTCAATCAGGATCTAGGTCATCGAAGGAAATTGCATGAATGACAAGATCCATACCCAATTCATACCTCCCCTATCAAATCCACTTCCAGTCTATTTAAATGTCCAAAGCTGCTTAACCACAGTGAGGAGTGTGCTAAATCCTATATATATATATATATGCAGAACCATAAAGGGAAAACATTGATGATATAGTTAAACTTTTGCACAACATCATAAGAAAATCCAATTAGTTGCTGTCCATTGTGAATGACTTGCTCATTAATGATTATCTCAATCAGTTAAAGGTTTACAAACTTGTGGCCTCATTGTTTTGTTTGGTATATGGCCACATATAACCAACATCAACATTTCATTGCAGGTTTAGCCATTTTATCCTGCCTGCTTACCTGCAAATTTATCCATCACTTTCTGATAGCTTTTTGATTTCTAATTTTTAATTTTACAAACTGTGGCTTAATTGTTTTCCCAATGATATACACCCACAAATAGCCGACATCAGCATTTTATTGCAGGTTTGGTTATTCTAACCTGCCTCCTTATCTGCAAATTTACCTATCACTTTTTGATAGCATTTTGTATTTCCAACTTTTAACTAATACCATTGAAAAATTAGTTATCTTGCTTTTCCCATCAATGCACTAAAAACTTTTAGGAAAGACATTAAAGTGACTGACAGCTTCAGTAGCATGGAAGTATTACCTCATCAAAATTCTTACCCAAGACCTTTGCTCTCTCTTCTCTCTCTTGCTTAAGACGCTTGAAGAGTCTTTCCTCTATGTGATCACTAAGCATGGTTCTTGGCAAATCTTTTGCACCAAGAATAGCATGGTCTGCTAATGGTTTGCGGACTCCACTTTCCATCTCTTGTATAAAACAATATGGGCAAACGTATTCAGCTTTCTCGTCCTTGTTTCTTTCACTGTTAAAGAGAGCACATATCTGATGTTGCCAACCTTCACATTTATCGCATTGAACCCACTGGGACAAACAACACAACCACAGATCCTAGGTAAGGATAATCTTCATTAAATTATGAGAAAGGGAATAGGAGGTTCACTTACTGATTCTTCAGTCACTTCATCATTCTTCTTCTTTTGCAGACTTGCCTTGGGAATATTGTACCCATCAACTGTGATACTTTCGCCTCGAGATTCACTATAGCATGAGGTACAGAAAGTGTATGGCATGATGCCATCTGATGCAGTGTAATACATCAAATTACGCTTTATACGGCCGCCACAAAATGAGCAATACAATGGTGGCGGCTCAAATGAAAGCTTCTCCACTGCACACAACCGGCATGAATTTTCACTCACACAATGCACCATTGTTTGATTCTTCTCTGCCTTTGTCTTACTCTGTTAAAAGGTAAGAAAAAAACATAAATTGCAGATGCAGCCACAGATGGAGACTTAAGGTGACAATGATTTCAAAAGCATGCTTAAGAAATTCAATAATACTCACAACATCAGACAATATATAGGATAAAGCAAGTTCAATAGTAAACAGCGCAAGAAAAATATAAGTCTCAGTAACTGTTTCATGGTTACTGATGAAGGATGATTTGACCCAACCTATGAAACGGTGACATGTAGACGCCGACTTAGCATGAGCGACAACCTAGCGTTGAAGCCCGGAGCGACCAAGTGACGGGCCCATGAAGCAACTGTAGCTCGCGAACTAAAGTTATTAGCTCGCCCAAGCTCCCTAGCAGACAAGTCATTCCGAGGACCAATTTCACTAAGGGTAATCCTGGAGTGTTCCAAGCTCGCCACGAGATAGCTCGCGAACGAGCCGCACTAGCGCCCTCCAGGAAGCTTCCAACTGACAGACCGTACCGGTCAGACTGTGCCATATCCTCTACTGACGGC